AAAATCCAAAGAAAATTTCAAAACGTTACTGAGATACTTTTCAAAAAGAAAAAAAAAAAAGATGAATTAATGGAAATGCATACCCTATTCTTTGGGACAAAGGCTAAAAGTTACAAAGACATCAATTCTCCTTGGTTTAATTTATCACTGTATACAAACACCAACAAGACTGTTTTTGGAACTAAAGTTTTTGGAACTTTAGCAGAAGATTCTAAATGCATCTGAAAAATAAATATGTGAAAAAAGTCAAGAATACACTTTTAAAAAGCAGTATCAAGAGAAGACTGGCTTTCTAGTTATCAAAGTACACTAAAAAGTTAAAACCTCTTGGTACCAGAACACTTGAATAAAAAGACAGATTAGTGGAATAGAAGAGTCCAGAAAAGGCATATACTGATGTGGGAGTGTGATAAAGATGGCATTACATTTCAGTGGGGAAAATACGATTTCTTTAACAAATGATGTTGGCACATCTGGGTGGCCACCTGTGCCACCAAAAGAATAAAATTGAATCAAAGATTTAGTTTAAAACATTAAATTATGGCTAAGCACAGCAGCTCGTGAGTGTAATACCAGCACTTTGGGAGGCCAAGACAGGAGGACTGCTCCAGGGCAGGAGTTCAAGACCAGCCTGGGCAACATAGCAAGACTCTGTCTCTACAAAAATAAAAGTAACAAAATTAGCCAGGTGTGGTGGTGCACACCTATAGTCCTAACTACTCAGGAGGCTGAGGCAGGAGGATCACTTGAGCCTGGGAGGTCAAGGCTGCAGTGAGCTATGATCATGACACTGCACTGCAGCCTGGGCAGCAGAGTGAGTCCCAATCTCAAAAAAAAAAAAAAACAAAAAAACAAATTATAAAATTCAGATATAAGAGAAGGGGTTATTTTTCCATAATGTCAGTGAAGAAGTCTAAATATCACCGAAGCCCAAAGTCATTAAACATTAACAAACTTAGCTATACATATATATAAATTTCTCCCCAGTTAAAAAAGTTTTTTAACTCAAAAAGGCAAACAAATTAGAAAAAAATGTACAGCTGATCCTTGAACAACTCAGAGGTTAGGGACACTGACTCCTGATGCAGTTAAAAATCTGCCCATAAGATACCCAAAACCTTAACTACCAACAGCTTCTTGTTGACCAGAAGACTTACCAGTAAAATCAATAGTTAACACATATTTTATATGTTATGTATATTATATTACTATAATCTTACATTAAAGCTAGAGGCAAAAAACCTTATTAAGAAAAGCACAAAGAAGAGAAAATATATCTCCTATTCATTAAGTGGAAATGATTTTCATCTCCATCTACATGTTGAGTAGGCTGAGGAAGTGGGGGGTCTTGATCTCTCGGGGTGGCAGAGGTAGAAGAAAACCTGCATATAAGTGGACCTGTGCAGTTCAAATGTGTGTTGTCTAGGAGTAAACTGTATGAACAAATATAGTTCACAAAATACTATCATCTTTAATACATTATGGACAAAAGAATTTAAGAATTAGTCTTATGGGAAGATACAGGTATTCTTTAACGGGAAAAGCCCTCAAACTTACTCCTTGTAAGAAAAATACAAATTAAACGTATAATAAAACACTATTTTCTAACCTATC